CCGCCTTAAAGGGGCCAGCCTCTGGCCACAGTCCCTGTGCCAGTTGCTAGCCTGCTGGCACACAGCCTGCAGACCGTGCACCTGGCACAAGATAAGCCAGCCACCTGCTGCCATCCAGCCCTCCACTGCTCCCCAGGACCAGGCTGGCAGCTCCCAGGAGCCTGCCAGGGGCTGCAAAAGGCAAGTGCCTTCCTGGTGTAATGCGGAGATCATGGACCACATTGAGATTTGGGGGGAGGCCCACGATCTCTGCACTAGGTGCAGGAATGAAGCTGTCTACAGCCACATGGCTACCAGCCTGGCCACCAGAGGCCACATGCGCAGCCAGGAGCAGGTGCACAGCAAAATAAAAGAACTATGGCAGGCCTATCCCCGGGCCTTCCAATGAGGGGCTGACCTGGAGGTCTGCCTGCACCATGAGACCCTGGACTGCATCCTGGGGTGTCAGACGGTCTGTGCCCCCCTGGTCATCATTGACCTCGGGGCAGAGGGCCCTGCCCCTGACACAGGGGAAGAGGAGGAAGAGGAGGTCAATGGCAGCCAGGAGCCTGCAGGAAGAGTGCCCTGCACCCAGGACCCCCAAGAAGAACAGAAGAGCCCATCAGCAGCCTCATCCAAAAGCCTCCCCCTTTCTCTTCCATAAATTGTGCTACACAGAGCATGCTGCCACCACATGCGGAATATTGTGCTGGGAGAGGTCGAAGCAGGTGAGGAAACACCTAAATTGGGCTTTCAGTTGGCCAAAGCCCCCCCTCCCCCAACCACAATGCAGGTCCTGCTGAGCCCGGCATTGAAGGCCTGCCGGGAGGGGCTGAGGTGTCCCGTGTAGGGCTTCAACAGCCAGGGCTGTAGGGGGTAGGCCACATCTCCCAGCAGGCACAATGTCATGTCCACATCCTTGACTCTGATGGTGCAGTCGGGGAAGAAGGTCCCAGCCTGCAGCCTCTGGCACACGGAGGAGGTGCGGGACTGGCCAGCCACTGCCAGCAGCATCACTGAGAAGTACGCCTTCCTGTTGATATACAGGGAGGCCTGGAGGTCCGGGGCATGGATGGGGATGTGCGTCCCATCGATTGCTCCCCTGCAGTTGGGGAAGCCCAGGGAGCCAAAACCCTGGATGACCGCGTTCAGCTGGTGAGGTAGACGACTCTGTGGAGCAGCATCCTGTTGATGGCCTTGGGAAGCCCGGGGAGCCAAAACCCTGGATGACCGCGTTCAGCTGGTGAGGTAGACGACTCTGTGGAGCAGCATCCTGTTGATGGCCTTCACCACCTGCAGAGAGACACATAAAACCGAGGGTCACTGGGGTGCCTGGGTGGCTGGGAGTGTTCTTTCCCCGCCACTTCCCCCTGCTCCACTCCCAGGAGCCACC